AAGTAGATAATTTTCTGTGTACAAATTTCCGTTTTCGTCCCAGAAAGTAGATATTTCCCATTTTCTGTGATATAAATTTCCCGTTTTCCATGATAATCTACTTCGGAAAATTAGGTAATGTTTCCCCCAAAATCGACAATCTACTTCCCCGAAAAGTCGATAATCTACTTTCCTGAAAAGTAGATAATCGACTTTTCGGGAAAGTAGATAACCAACTTTCCCGGAAAGTAGATATTTCCCATTTTCTATTATACAAATTTCCCGTTTTCTATGATAAGTAGATAATCAACTTTCCCAGAAAGTAGATATTTCCCGTTTTCTGTGATACAAATTTCCCGTTTTCTATGATAATCTACTTCAGAAAATTAGGTTATATTTCCCAAAAAGTCGATAATCTACTTCCCCGAAAAGACGATAATCTACTTTCCTGAAAAGTAGATAATCGACTTTTCGGTAAAGTAGATAACCAACTTTCCCGGAAAGTAGATATTTCCCATTTTCTATGATAAAAATTTCCCGTTTTCTATGATAAGTAGATAACCAACTTTCCCAGAAAGCAGACATTTTCTGTGATACAAATTTCCCGTTTTCTACGATAATCTACTTCGTAAAATTGGGTAATATTTCCCAAAAAGTAGATAATCTACTTCCCTGAAAAGTCAATAACCTACTTTCCTGAAAAGTAGATAATCTACTTTTCGGGAAAGTAGATAACCAACTTTCCCGGAAAGTAGATATTTCCCATTTTCTGTGTCACAAATTTCCCGTTTTCTATGATAAGTAGATAACCAACTTTCCCAGAAAGTAGATATTTCCCATTTTCTGTGATATAAATTTCCCGTTGTCCATGATAATCTACTTCGGAAAATTAGGTAATGTTTCCGCCAAAATCGACACTCTACTTCCCCGAAAAGTCGATAATCTACTTTCCCGAAAAGTAGATAATCTACTTTTCAGGAAAGTAGATAACCAACTTTCCCGGAAAGTAGATATTTCCCATTTTCTATTATACAAATTTCCCGTTTTCTATAAGTAGATAACCAACTTTCCCAGAAAGTAGATATTTCCCGTTTTCTGTGATACAAATTTCCCGTTTTCTACGATAATATACTTCAGAAAATTAGGATACATTTCCCAAAAAGTCGATAATCTACTTCCCCGAAAAGTCGACAATCTACTTTCTTGAAAAGTAGATAATCTACTTTTAAGGAAAGTAGATAACCAACTTTCCCGGAAAGTAGATATTTCCCATTTTCTATGATAAAAAATTCCCGTTTTCTATGATAAGTAGATAACCAACTTTCCCAGAACGCAGACATTTTCTTTGATACAAATTTCCCGTTTTCTATGATAATCTACTTCGCAAAATTGGGTAATATTTCCCAAAAAGTCGATAATCTACTTCCCTGAAAAGTCGATAATCTACTTTCCTGAAAAGTAGATAATCTACTTTTCGGGAAAGTAGATAACCAACTTTCCCGGAAAGTAGATATTGCCCATTTTCTGTGTAACAAATTTCCCATTTTCTATGATAAGTAGATAACCAACTTTCCCAGAAAGTAGATATTTCTCATTTTCTGTGATATAAATTTCCCGTTTTCCATGATAATCTACTTCGGAAAATTAGGTAATGTTTCCCCCAAAATCGACAATTTACTTCCCCGAAAAGTCGATAATCTACTTTCCCGAAAAGTAGATAATCTACTTTTCAGGAAAGTAGATAACCAACTTTCCCGGAAAGTAGATATTTCCCATTTTCTATTATACAAATTTCCCGTTTTCTATGATAATATACTTCAGAAAATTAGGTTATATTTCCCAAAAAGTCGATAATCTACTTTCCTGAAAAGTAGATAATCTACTTTTCGGGAAAGTAGATAACCAACTTTCCCGGAAAGTAGATATTGCCCATTTTCTGTGTAACAAATTTCCCATTTTCTATGATAAGTAGATAACCAACTTTCCCAGAAAGTAGATATTTTTTTCTGTGATATAAATTTCCCGTTTTCCATGATAATCTACTTCGGAAAATTAGGTAATGTTTCCCCCAAAATCGACAATCTACTTCCCCGAAAAGTCGATAATCTACTTTCCCGAAAAGTAGATAATCTACTTTTCAGGAAAGTAGATAACCAACTTTCCCGGAAAGTAGATATTTCCCATTTTCTATTATACAAATTTCCCGTTTTCTATGATAATATACTTCAGAAAATTAGGTTATATTTCCCAAAAAGTCGATAATCTACTTTCCTGAAAAGTAGATAATCTACTTTTCGGGAAAGTAGATAACCAACTTTCCCGGAAAGTAGATATTGCCCATTTTCTGTGTAACAAATTTCCCATTTTCTATGATAAGTAGATAACCAACTTTCCCAGAAAGTAGATATTTCCCATTTTCTGTGATATAAATTTCCCGTTTTCCATGATAATCTACTTCGGAAAATTAGGTAATGTTTCCCCCAAAATCGACAATCTACTTCCCCGAAAACTCGATAATCTACTTTCCCGAAAAGTAGATAATCTACTTTTCAGGAAAGTAGATAACCAACTTTCCCGGAAAGTAGATATTTCCCATTTTCTATTATACAAATTTCCCATTTTCTATGATAAGTAGATAACCAACTTTCCCAGAAAGTAGATATTTCCCGTTTTCTGTGATACAAATTTCCCGTTTTCTATGATAATATACTTCAGAAAACTAGGTTATATTTCCCAAAAAGTCGATAATCTACTTCCCCGAAAAGTCGACAATCTACTTTCTTGAAAAGTAGATAATCTACTTTTCGGGAAAGTAGATAACCAACTTTCCCGGAAAGTAGATATTTCCCATTTTCTGTGATATAAATTTCCCGTTTTCCATGATAATCTACTTCGGAAAATTAGGTAATGTTTCCCCCAAAATCGACAATCTACTTCCCCGAAAAGTCGATAATCTACTTTCCCGAAAAGTAGATAATCTACTTTTCAGGAAAGTAGATCACCAACTTTCCCGGAAAGTAGATATTTCCCATTTTCTATTATACAAATTTCCCGTTTTCTATGACAAGTAGATAACCAACTTTCCCAGAAGGCAGATATTTTCTGTGATATAAATTTCTCGCTTTCTATGATAATCTACCTCGCATAATTGGGTAATATTTCCCAAAAAGTCGATAATCTACTTCCCTGAAAAGTCGATAATCTACTTTCCTGAAAAGTAGATAATCTACTTTTCCGGAAAGTAGATATTCCCATTTTCTATGATAAAATTTCCTCGTTTTATGATAAGTAGATAACCAACTATCCCAGAAAGCAGACATTTTTTTGATACAAATTTCCCGTTTTCTATGATAATCTACTTCGCAAAATTCATTTCAAAAGTCGATAATCTACTTTCCTGAAAAGTAGATAATCTACTTTTCGGGAAAGTAGATAACCAACTTTCCCGGAAAGTAGATATTTCCCATTTTCTGTGTAACAAATTTCCCGTTTTCTATGATAAGTAGATATCCAACTTTCCCAGAAAGTAGATATTTCCCATTTTCTGTGATATAAATTTCCCGTTTTCCATGATAATCTCCTTCGGAAAATTAGGTAATGTTTCCCCCAAAATCGACAATCTACTTCCCCGAAAAGTCGATAATCTACTTTCCCGAAAAGTAGATAATCTACTTTTCAGGAAAGTAGATAACCAACTTTCCCGGAAAGTAGATATTTCCCATTTTCTATTATACAAATTTCCCGTTTTCTATGATAAGTAGATAATCAACTTTCCCAGAAAGTAGATATTTCCCGTTTTCTGTGTTACAAATTTCCCGTTTTCTATGATAATCTACTTCAGAAAATTAGGTTATATTTCCCAAAAAGTCGATAATCTACTTCCACGAAAAGTAGATAATCGACTTTTCGGGAAAGTAGATAACCAACTTAACCGGAAAGTAGATATTTCCCATTTTCTATGATAAAAATTTCCCGTTTTCTATGATAAGTAGATAACCAACTTTCCCAGAAAGCAGACATTTTCTGTGATACAAATTTCCCGTTTTCTATGATAATCTGCTTTGGAAAATTAGGTAATATTTCCCCAAAAGTCGATAATCTACTTTCCCGAAAAGTGTGTGTGTATATATATATATATATATATATATATATATATATATATATATATATATATATATATATATATATATATATATATATATATATATATATATATATATATATATATAAAACAGCCAGTCAGGCAATTAAGGACATTTAGTCTCTTCTCGTAGTACTCGAACATTATAACTCGGTCAAACCTGTTGAATACAATTCATTTAGTATTTCAAATAAGTCATACATAGACACTCCTACATAAATGTTTAATCCAATATACATTTACATAACAATCATGGCTATGTAATTAGTCTAATCTTAACACAAACAATGAATACTCAATTTGCCACATTTCTATGTTGTCACACTGATCAATGGACACAGTCTACCTGTGTACACAATAAGTACTAGTTATACTTACATGTTGAAAGTCTAGAGAAAAGCCAGGGTAGGTGTTGACTCTAAGATATGGGTAGCTATACTGAAATGCCCACCCTATAGCCTGGCCCCCTGGCTGGTCAGCTATGGCTGAGTCAGGTGATTATAATTATACATAAACAAACTCCCTTCACACCCTCCAACCTCCTTCTGGACCTCTCATCTTCAACCATCTCAGCACTCTACATACTGCATAAGGGCAGGCACACCCAATAAACATGACATGACTTACAGGCTAACACTAATATTTGTTTATGTGTTTGCTGCTTGCGGTTACACCCACTCTGTTGAGCGTTCACGCTCAAAACCATGTCAGGCCTTTGATACTTAATGCTTTGTCACGTTCTTGTGACCATGCTGCCCTCAGGCTGATGGTATTCAACTTTAATTTTGTCACGGTCTTGTGACCATGCTGCCCTCAGGCTGGTGGTACTTATCAGCTCCTTAGGACATCTCGGTCCTTTGACGTTCGGACATCACCATCTTCATGTGTGGATACCCAATTCACTTTCCTGGCCGACTCCGTCAACCCTTTCCATTGCTCCCTCCAACAAGCATAATTTTGTCACAGGTCGCAACATTGTGGACGTCGTCGTCTTAACCACTGCCTGTCGGACAAGTCCATCCTCGCCAGCCTTGACTTCCATCACTCGACCAAGGTGCCATTTGTTGCGTGGACTACTTGCTTCTGCTATAATAATTAGGTCACCAGGGCGAAAGTTGCGCCGTGGTCTGAAATGCACTTGTCGAGTTCTGAGTTGAGGGAGGTACTCCGTCAGCCAGCGCTTCCAAAATTGATCTGCAAGGTACTGGGCATGCTTCCGCCTTCTGTAGTATGATTCGCCTATTGACCTTCCACCTAAGGGAAGATTACCCTTTTGACTTAAGTGCAAAAGATCAGCAGGCGTGAGAGCCTTTGGTTCATTTGGAGTGTTTGGAACCGGGGTGATTGGCCTCTCGTTAACTATGGCTTCCACTTCACAGAACAGTGTTTGCAGACGTTCATCGTCTAAAACTAGTGAGCCCAGAATCGCCTGCAGAACCTTCTTTACTGTGCGAATCTGCCTTTCCCATACTCCCCCAATGTATGGGGCAGCTGGTGGATTGAAGACCCAGTCAATATCTGCTTTCAGTAAGGCACCACTGAGTCTGTCATCTTGCTCCCAACTTTTCACTGCCAGTTTGAGCTCTTTGGCTGCCCGTACCATGTTTGCCCCATTATCCGACCTAATACGCTCTGGTGTACCTTTGCGTCGTGAGAACCTTGTTATTGCGTTGAGGAAGGCATCTGCGTCTAATGAGGCCAAGACTTCTAGATGAACAGCCCTAATAGTTAGACATGTAAACAGACATCCCCAGCGCTTAACCTGTTTCCTCCCTACCTTGATAATGAATGGGCCAAAACAGTCCATTCCAGTGTAAGCAAATGGAGCCTTTCCAGGAGTGACACGATCTATTGGTAAGTCAGCTTGCCTTTGATGCCGACTTCTCCAGTTGTTCCGTCGGCACACTACACAGCGTCGTATGATTCTATCAAGCAAGCGTCTGCCCTGGGGAATCCAATACCTTTGCCTCACACACGCCATCGTGTGTTCTCGTCCGGCATGTCCGGCTCTCTCTTCGTGCATCTCCCGCACTATGATTTCGGTGATGTGGTGGTCTCTAGGCAGCAAGATTGGCTCCTCACCACTTCGCCCAAGAAGGGTTCCTTTAATTCTTCCCTTTGATCTGAGCAACGTTCGCTCGTCCAAGTAAAATTCCAGTTTATATAGCTTATTGTCCTTCGGCAGCTCACCCTTTATGACAGTTTGGATTTCTTTCTCATAAGCCTCTTTCTGCACCAATCTTATAATTGTCTGCTCAGCCGACTGTAGTTCCTCAGTGCTTAGCCTCTTCAGTTTGAGGCGCAGGTCTGCGGTCCTTGTACTGGACCCAAGCCACCAAATGAACCTTTTAATCCACGCCACCCCTTTCACCAAGCGGTACCATGATGAGTACCTGAGCTACAGTTTGGCGAGGGACCACTTTGACTGCTCGCTCACTGCCAGAGCAACTACAGATCTCTGGTGTACTTCTCGTTTCACCTCCAGTAAGTCGTTCAGTAATGCTGGCAGCTCCTTTCCCTTTGGCCACCGTTCTTCATCACTGAGTAGAAAGTCAGGACCTCGTATCCACCGAGATCCTGCAACCAGGTCCAGGACAGGTAATCCCCTAGTTGCATCATCTGCTGGGTTCAGCGATGTGCCGACATGTCTCCACTGGTCAGTTCTTGACAGCTCTTGCATGACTGCTATCCTGTTCGCTACAAACGTTTGAAATCGTCTGCTCGAATTGGCGATGTACTGCAAGACTAGCATGCTATCCGTTCAAAAATAAGATTCGTGTATGGTCATGGTCCTTTCTCGGCGAATCGTTCGATCAGCGTTCACTGCCAGGACAGCTGCACAAAGTTCCATCCTTGGTATTGTCAGTTGCTTGAGTGGGCCCAGCTTGGCCCGTCCGTACACGAAAGAGCACTGGATACTTCCGCCAGAGTCTACCATTCTCAAATAGGTCACCGCACCGTAAGCAGCCTGCGATGCATCGCAGAAGGTGTGCAACTGTGCTGAGATGATTTCTTTAGCACATGCTGTTTTTAGGCATCTGGGTACCCTTAATTTCCCAAGGTGGGCCAGTTCTCCTAGCCAGGTGCTCCAGTTCGTGTGATTAACAGCCGACAAAGGTTCGTCCCACCCTAATCGACGCCTGCATTCACAATGAAATAAGATTTTAGCCCTGATGATGAATGGGGCCACGAACCCCAGTGGGTCATAAATAGAATTGACCAGGCTTAGTACTCCTCTCCTGGTCGCTGGCCTTGAGTTTGGTTGCACCTTGATGGCGAGCTGATCACCTTCCAGGAGTCACCTAACCCCCAGGGCTCGCTCCATTGGCAATTTGTCTTGCCTCAGATCAATTTCCTTCAGTGCATTTTGCCTCTCCTCCGGTGGGATGGTAGCCAACACTCCTTTGTGATTACTGGCCCACTTAGTTAAACGAAATCCTCCACACGCCAACAGTCTTCGAAGCTGACACGCTAACATTGATGCTTCATTTGAGGAGTCCAGCGACATGAGCAGGTCGTCAACGTAGAAGTTGACTTCCGCTTGCGCCACCATGTCGGGAAACTCGAATCTGTGGTCTTTGGAATGTGCGCCGGAGAGCGTAAGTTGCACATGAAGGGCTCCACACCCCACCAAAGATGTGCACCTTCATCCTGTAAGTTACTGGCTCTCTACTCAGGTCCCCATTCTCCCACCAGAGGAATCTTAACGCATCTCGATGTTCTGGCGCTACATGGATTTGATGGTACATAGCCTCCACATCTGCCATGATGGCTGCAGTTCCTTGGCGAAACCTAAACAGGACTCCAAGTAATTTGTTGTTGAAGTCTGGACCTTGTAGTACCTGGTCGTTCAGCGATGTCCTTTTGTGTTTGGCTGCACAGTTAAAAAACTATGCGTACTTTGTTTGGCTTATTTGGGTTCAACACTGGGTGATGAGGCAGATACCAGACCAGTCCAGTATCTGACTCCAACTGGCACTTAGGCACTGATTCAGCATATCCTTCAGCAAGCAGTTTATTCATTTCCTCTACGTATCCTTGTCGCAGCCGTGCGTCCTTGGATAGTCTCCTTCGAAGCCCATCTAGTCGACGCTCCGCCACGGCCTTGTTGTTTGGGAGTTCCGTGTTCTCATTACGGAACGGTATGGGAAATTGGTAATGACCATTAGTTTTGATGCCCGTCTCTGACCATAACCTCAACACTCTTTTGTCCTCAAGTGAATGAGCTGCTGACTGCAAGGCTCCTGTGTCCCCACTTTCCAGCTCCCAAAAAAGCTTAACTTGTCTTTCCAGACGGGTTTCAGGACTCACGACAGTTTCGGTCATCAGGCATCCTGACATGCAAACTCCTTGTGCGTCTTGGTGCCCCACCGGTCCATTTACTGTCCAACCCAGTCGCGTTTTTATGGCGAATGGCATTCCATCCCTTCCTGCTCTGACCTCCAAGGGTACCAGGGCCTGTGGCACATCTTGTCCTATCAGAATTTCTATGCTGTTGCTCTGCAATTCTGGTAATTCCACACCTCGCAGATGGGTCCACTTTGAGATATCACTTGTGTTCGCTATGGAGATGTGCAGCGCTGTGGAGAAATTTTGTATAATGAGTACTTTCGGTATAAGTATGGTTCTGCCTCGTTTCATGCCTGCGCCAACCACTTCTAGATCTACCTCCGCTGACTCGAGTATCATCTCTTGGGCAAGTGTACCCATGGTTACCAGGGTAGGTGTCCCTTTCACCCTTAGTTTCTGTGCCAGATCTTTGGTGCAATACGACCTGTTGCTGCCTGAGTCCAAGAGAGCTAAAGTTCTGATGTGATTTCGTTGGAGTGAGTTCTTTCCCCGAATCTTCACACTCACTATGGGCAGTACAATCTTGGCATTTTTCGTCGATAGTCAGATGTCGCTTTCGCAGCTGTATGGGTTTTCATGGCCGTCCTCTGTCCCTGTAGCATAGACATAGCCTATTTTTCGGGCCATGTACGAACTGTCGTTGGCTTTCTGGGCCATGCCACCATCACAGGTGCCTGCCATTGACTCCTGTTTCACGAGACCTTGAAAATTTCGCTTTACACCACCCTTGCGTGTGTTTGACATACTTGCAGTAAGTGCCTCCCTTCGTTCTTGATGCAACAGTCTAGAATGCTTCTCTTTGCACCCATCAGTGCCACACCTGAAGCGTGACCAACACTCAGCAACAAGGTGGCCCACTCTCAGACACAAGAAACAGCAACGTAATCTTTTTACCCTCTCTAACCTCTCCCTCACTGACATGCTCCGGAATTTGTCGCACCCTGCTAATCCATGTGCTGTGGAACACACTGGGCACGAGCCTTTTCCAGAGCTTGTTTCTCCTCCATTGCCTTTCGCTTCACTGATAGTCACTAGGCCCATGGCACGTTTGCTTGATGATGATCCTTCTGGTCTTTTCTTACTTCCTTCTTGACTGTCCTCGCTTGATAGCAGAGCTATGTCATCCATCGTCACCGCTTTCTCCTCCAAATATAGCGCTAACCACTTCACCAGGCTCCGTTGTGGGTCGTTTGACCTGTGCCCGGGTGGGCTAGTTCCCGTAAAAAAAAAAAAATAATAATAATAATTTCGTACATCATCCACACAGCGTTCCCTCAATTTGGGGGGAAGCTTAATCACCAGCGTTCTGAAGGTCTGCCTTGTTTCAAGTTCAGACATCAAGTTCAGATTCTCCAGATGGCTTACTGCACCCCATAGCTGAGATGCCAGTTTTCGCAGCCCTTCGTCGTCGAACGCCCCCACTGAGCGAGCGTCTATGAGCCTTTTTACCAGCTGGTCCGCATATGCATACTTATCTCCAAACCTTGCCTCCAGGATCTTGATTGCCTTGTTGTAGGCTCTGTCTGGCTCTAGATAGTCGCATCCCATGATTGCTTGATGTAACTCTTCTCCTTCACAAGCATCCATGAGCAGTTGGTACTTGTACTTCTCTGGCACGGCTGCATTTGTCATGTATCGACGGAAGGCATGCATAAAGGTCCAAAACTCCGCCTGCCCTTGTCCTTTAAACTTGGGAAGGGTGGCTTGCGGCATGCGCATCGTAGCCACTGGCTCTCTTATTTCTTCACCCTTCTCCGATTCTCCCTGTGGATGCATAATTGTGACTTGAGGCGCTTTGTTTACAAGCATTGGCGGTAAAGACGACGCCATTTTCTCGACATTGACCGATGCCTGTTGCTGGGTTTCTTCCCGTACTATTGGCTTCTCATAATTGCTGGAGTTCTCTGTCGAAGGCTGTGAGCTGTCACTTCTTCGTGTTAGTGCTGATGTCTCTTTACCCGCCACCATTCCAGTGTGCATTGTTTTCATCCACCCTGCCTTAAGCTCTCGCAGAGCTCGGTTTACTTCATCCGACGCTGCCTCAGCTCTGGCCACTGCTTGTTGATAATACAATTCCCTACTGTAACCTTCCCGTGGATCTCCTGGTATTGCAAGCTCATTTCCTGTTTCACCACTCTCTGATTGTACCTCGGCGGGCGGATCCATTGTCATTAGGTCAAAATGTTTGCTTCTATCTAGGTCCGACTCTCCTTCCATGTCATCAATATACCCAATCTCCGACATCTTGCTTATTCAGGTAATTTAAATTGCGTTCGTTTCCACCACTCTTGAATCAGGGCTCGTTCGTGTGCCTCGTCGTACACTCGCACCTGATATCATTACAGACTTTACATTGATATTTGGGTTATTTACAAAGCAATATTACTTCAGTCAATTATGACTGCTAATTGTGTTCTGCACTTACGTCAGACAACAATAATGACATGTGTTTTCATTCTCATATGCACTACACTGGGAGTGATGAAGATCACCCAGACAAGACTATTTTCTGGACTAACAAGGTTTAACTATTATCGATGTGAGAAGTATACGGACGTTGCACTGCACTTCTCGCCACTGGATACTGTAGTGGACGTCTCCCCTACAACTGCGTAGCCGCATCCCACCTAGCAACCAAACGAGCGGCCCGAGGGGGGGCGGCGTCACCAGATGCCACAGTATCCTAGCAACGGAGTCAAAAGACCGGGGTTTCCCACGGGTGACTCACGGCTGCTGTGTATATAAGCTCTGTCTCTCCATTGAGATTCATTCTGGCCTCTCTTCTTGAACACGCAACACCACCTCCTCCGCCTGCCTGGCGGTCCTCGCTCCCGCCGGCGAGCATGGAGACCCACCAGCTGTCCTTCTCTGAGCGTCCTCACCAACCAGCTCTCTCATTCTGCTCTCGGTTCCTGAACACGCAACACCACCTCCTCCTCCGCCGCTGCCTGGCGGCCCTCGCTTCTCCTCCGCCTGCCTGGCGGTCCTCGCTCCCACCGGCGAGCATGGCGACCCACCAGCTGTCCTTCTCTGAGCGTCCTCACCAACCAGCTCTTTGATTCTGCTCTCGGTTCCTGAACACGCAACACCTCCTCCAAGCAAGCTCCTCGCTGTCCCGTTCTCATTCAACCTGGAAGCCAGCAACAGGCAACATCTTCTCTAACGAAGCTCCTGCACATCTACCTCCTTCAACACGCTACTCACCGAACGTGTCTACTGAGCAGCTCCTCACCACACGGCACCTCCAGCACCAGACTGTCTACCATATAACTTATATTATATAAGAAAACCACCTTAGAGTTTCCATCCATCCTGAGTGCTAGACAACATTATATCACGAAACCCTACAAATGGTGACCCCCGGAGATTCGCACTCACACAGGATGGAGGAGAAACTGATCA